CTCTCTCTCCCTCTCTCCCTCTCCCTCTCCTTCCCTTTCTCCCTCTCTCTCCCTCCCCTTCTCTCCCTCTCCATCCCTCCCTCTCCCTCCCTCTCTCCTCCTCCCTCCCCACTCCTCTCTCCCCCTCCATCCATCCCTCTCCTTCCCTCTCCCTCCCTCTCCCTCCTTCCCCCTCTCCCTCTCCCTCCCTTCCTCTCTCCCCCTCTCTCTCTCCCTCCTTCCCTCCCTCTCCTTCCCTCTCCCCCTCTCTCCCCCTCTGTCCCTCTCTCTCCCCCTCTCTCTCCCTCTCTCCCTCTCCCTCTCCTTCCCTTTCTCCCTCTCCCTCCCTCCCTCCCTCTCCCTCCTTCCCCCTCTCCCTCTCCCTCCCTTCCTCTCTCTCCCTCTCTCCCTCCCTCTCCTTCCCTCTCTCCCTCTCCCTCCCTCTCTCCCTCTCTCTCCCTCTGTCTCTCTTTTAACTCTCTTCTTTTTTAAATTCTATCTTGCTTTATTTTTTTTAACGACCTCCAAATCTAGGCTAGGATCGTCCATAAGTCCCGCTCAACAGAAGCGGCCTAGCTGGGTTGTTATGGGGATGGTTATCCCCAGGTATCTGGAGCATTTCCCATCGCCTCCTTTGGCTCTGCCTGTCATGGCACGTCACAATCTATTTGTTGGCTGAGGGTCTGTCTGGTGGGAAGGGGAGAAGAGGAGAAAGAAATTTCACAAGGAGATTACAACATACGAGGGAACATACGAAACAAACGGAGGCGAAAACATATGAAGTAGGGTTGTAGGAGTTGGGTGTGTCTCATCAGTGCAGTTCTAACTTCGCAGTGTCACTAAACGAGTAGCTGTAAGTTGAGGACTTACCTGTTGCACCACCTGATCCACACGGTCCATTCCTCTCCCCCTCTGGCTCTTTATGGATAATTTGCCAAGGGCAGAGATTGCTATGGAAAATAAAACTGGGGTTGCCTAGCAACATCAGGGCAATTCTACGGGCGTTCGGGCAAGGCGCTGGATTTTTCCAGCTGTAGGTATGCCTCTTCCCTGCTTCTCACCTCTTGTGCCTCCCTGAACTAGGGAGAACAGCCCATAAATAATCCAAAGAATTTAAGCCCACAAATCTGTCAGCAAAACAATCAAAAGAGTTTTCTTCCCACCTGAGGAGGAGCTCAGTGGTTTGGAAACCTTAGCAGGCCTCCTGGGAAGCAACAAGAGAAGTTAGAGCCACGAAGGCGACAAGAAAACCAAGACCACCCCTTCCTCCACTTAGTGGCTGAAGCTTTCATGAATCACGAAATTTAAGCAGCGAACCCTGCGGCCTTTCCTTCTGTCAAACCCCGGGTGTCTGGCTCCGCTCTTGAGTTTCCAACACCCTGTTGGGCCTTGTCCTTATGGCCTTACAGTTTCTAATATCCTGGTACTAGCTGGTTCTCTACGAAACTATGTGGTCGGGCTTTGTTTTTGGGGAGGAAAATAAGGAGGGGGGGAAATTCTGCCTCTGTCTACCAGCATCCATTGGTATTCATCTGGCTAGCATCTGGTCACTGTGTGGGAGAGTTGAGGGCTGTTTGGAAACTGAAGCAGTTATTTGCTGTGTGAGCAAGAAGGAGACAGCAAGGAGCCTGGGCGTGGCTTAGCTCAACTGTTCTGTACTAAAGCTGCTTGGTGCTCTGAAACTGAAACTGAAACTCCTCTGCTCGTGTTTTGCATTTGGAATAGATTTCTTTTCAGGTGGGGAGGGGGAGTAGAACTCCTTAGCAGAGTGCATGCATGCGCTGGCTAGCTGGTCTTCGCGTACGCGGGAATGCCAGAAACTGGAAGAGCAGCTCCCCGGAGTGCATGTGCACACCAGCCAGCTGGTCTTCGTGCATGCATGCATGTTAAAAACATGCACGCCGGGAAGCTAAGCTTCTGGTTCCTGGCGCTGCTGTGCGCACGAGTCAGGGAGCTGCTGTTCTGGTTTCTGGTGCGCGCGCATTCCCGTTTTGGCTCTCTGTGCTGAAAAGATTAGCCACCACTGCCCGAGACCCTTCCACACAAATGGCTGTCTAGTCTTTACTTGAAAAGAAAAGATCCACCGACAGCTTCTGGAGGCAAGTTGTTCCATTGATGAATTGTTCTCACTGTCAGGAAGTTGCTTCTTAATTCTAGGTTGCTTCTCTTCTTGATTAGTTTCCACCCATTGCTTCTTGTCCTGCCTTCTGGTGCTTTGGAGAATAGCTTGGCTCCCTGCTTCCCTGCGACAGCCCCCTCAATGACTGGGAGACTGCTATGATGCCACCCTTAGTCCTTCTCTTCCTTAGGCTGGGCTTGACTTAGGCATTTCTTTTTGGACCCGGTCCAAAGCAGTAAATCACCACCAAGCAAACCACATTGCAGGCACATTGTACCTGATGAAGTGACCTACCGGACCGTCCTACCTTTTAATAAAAATTGTTCACCTGGAAAGACTCTGATTTATGGCAAACCATATCGCTTTGCAGCCATCAAGGTCCTGCTGGTTTGGTGTCTTTTGAACAGTAGAGGGCGCTCTAGGATAACTGAAATTCAGAGGTCACCTGCAACTTATTGAAAATAAGACAGATATATTTTATACGTTGATATAATAGACAGATAGATAGATGAGAGATAGATGGATGGATGGATGGATAGATAGATAGATAGATAGATAGATAGATAGATAGATAGATAGATGAGAGATAGATGAGTGATAGATAATGATAGATAAATGATAGTTAGATGAGATAGATGAGAGATAGATGAGAGATAGATAGAGAGATGAGATAGATAATGATAGATAGATAGATAGATAGATAGATAGATAGATAGATAGATAATGATAGATAGATAATGATAGATAGATAGATAATGATAGATAGATAGATAGATAGATAGATAGATGATAGATAGATAATGATAGATAGAAAGAACAGATTCTAGGTTGTGTGATAGACTTTTAATGACCATGTACATATTCTCCATGATGTTTTGTCCCTAACTTGGTCCTTCAGCACAGTCATGGTCACTGTAATTGAATCCATCCCCCTTGGTGCTTTTCATTTTTTTCTACGTTTTCCTTCCGCCTTTCTCAGAGTCTTTGCACAATGGTCTTGGCACAATGTGTCCAAAAGATTGATCCTGGCTATTTGAGATTGAGGGAGGTCTCTTGGTTTGATTGGTTCAATGATCCGTTTTTGTTTTTTCTTGAACGTCCACGGTAGGAGTCTTCTCCAGCACCAAAGCTCAAAGGAATCAATACTCATCCTAGCCTGTTTTTTCAAACTCCAGCTTTGGGTTCCCTAGAGTGCTACAGGGAATACCATGGTTTCAGAGGTGGGTATTCAGCCAGTTCTGACCAGTTCTGGAGAACCGGTAGCAGAAATTTTGAGTAGTTCGGAGAACTGGCCAATCCCGCCTCTGACTGGCCCTGCCAACCCCATCTCTTCTCTGCCTCCCATTGAGTCCCAGCTGATCCTCTGGGTCTTCTTTGGTTGCCCTGCAGGGGAGAACGGAGCTGGGAAGCAGGTTAGTGGGGTGGGGAAGAAATGGGATTTTGCAGTGTCCTTCCCCTGCCACGCCCACCAAGCCACGCCCACAGAACCGGTAGTAAAAAAAATTGAATCCCACCACTGTGTGGTTTGAATAATTTCGATCTTTGTAGGTATATAGACACATCATGGCATTTGACTATCTGTGATGACCCGGGCACGGCACAGAGGCAACACAGTCAGCTGATAGTTCAAACTACCCCTTTGCTCCAACTTTCCCCCAAACGCTCCCATGCTTCTGGCAAGTCCCAGAGCAAAGTGATCACACACACACACACGCACACACACACAGCTCCAGCAGCCTCTGGCTGCAAATAGTCCAGCACAACACTGCGAGCACAATGACTGCAAAGCAAGAAATCCAGCAGGGAATAAGCCAATGAGCCCAGGAAGAAAAAAGGAACAAGGCAATTAATCCAGGAAGCAAGAAAGCAAGAAGTGCAGGAAGCTTCAAACGTCGGCAACGACACACAACACTCAGCCTTTGTTCCCGACAAACGCTCCTCCCCACAGCATCTCAGTCCCGAGTAGTCGGGTCAGCCTGCGCTGTTCCTGCCTTCTTTCCACTCTCCGTGCTCGAGGATCA